ATTGGAGTTTGCAGTCTTTTGTCACTTTGAAGGGTATTTTGTGAAATTTTTTCCATTCTTTATCATCGACTTATAAAATCTCACTCCACTTTGTTTTACCTGTTGACACAGAAGATCACCTTGTAAATATTTGACATAACTAATGGATTTTCTAGCTTTTTGATAGGTTTGTCAAGACCAGAATTTTTTATCCAAAATTTAGTAGCATGAATAATACTACTATATTCTAAAAAAATAATCTTTATTTTTGGATTATTACAAAAAGATTCAAAACTTAAGAGTGAGCCATCTTCATTAATGATATCATTAATCCGTCTAATGTTGCTGTCAAACATTTCTTTATTATAAAAAGGCTTTCTCCCGATATGAATCATTGGATTATAAAATAAAGGCGAGTCACCAGTAACCTCAGACGTTTTCTCATGATTTTGTAATAATAACCAGAATTTGAAAACATCTATCCAAAATTTATTTTTCAAAGTTTTCAGAAAAGTTGTGACATAATCAGTCCCACAGTTTATAAATTTCTCTAAGTTAAAATTTGGGATGAGGTGTTCCATGCCCCTATTTGTAAAAATGAGATGTCTTATCCAAAATAATTTCAAAGAAGATATAAAAGACTTAAGGTTTAACATTTTCAATCCCCCATCTTCATAGTTTTTAACAATAACTTCTTTTTTAACCCTGTGAATTGAATTATTCCATAAAAATAAGAGGAACGTTTTTTCTAATTCTTTACAGTATGATTTAGAGGGGTTTGGGATTGACATTAAAATGTGATTTAGTAAAGGTAAAACTAATGTCTTAATGACTGTAATTTTCACTATTGGAGTTAGATACCTTTTTCCCCATATTGTTTAAGAATTGATTTAATCTGTACTAGCTTGGGGTCATGATTTAGTTGTTGTAACTTATCCAGTTCCACCTCAAAATGTATTCCTAGAAGAGTAAATCTAGTAGTTCCCCAGTTAAGATTGTAATTTGGCAGTAACATTTCATTGCTAAACTTTTTGGAGCCTATCCACACTATATGAGTTTTGGCATAATTAATGTGTAATCCAGATATTTTTGAAAAACTCTTTAGTGTTTCCAATGTTTCTGTAAGGGATTCTTTACTGCCATCAAGAATAAGAGAAGTGTCATCAGCTAATCGAGAAATCTTTTTTTCAATATTGTTCACAGTTATGCCTTTAATATTTTTGTTTAATCTAATTTGGATTGCTAATATTTCTGCACATATAATGAATATATAAGGGGACAATGGGTCTCCCTGTCTGCAACCCCGCTGGATGTTAATTCTATGAGAGATTACCACCTTGATTTATTGCAGATGTAATGTCTGTATTAAAAAGCGATACCCAATTCCTAATTGAGGGGCCAAAGTCGAAAAATTTAAGTGCTCCTTGAATAAAATTCTATGACAAAGTATCAAAGGCTTTTTCAAAATCAATAAGTAATAACAACCCAGGTATATTTTCTTCTTCCGTATAATGCATTATATCATATATTAACCTTGCATTTTCACCTATGTATCTATTAGAGATAAAATCTGTTTGATCTTGGTTGATAATTTTGTCAAGGTATCTTTTTATTCTATTTGCAATAGTGCCAGATGCGATTTTGTAGATGGTATTTAACAAAGTGATTGGTCTCCAATTCTTTAAGTATTGTCTTGGCTTATCACCTTTTGGTAAAAGTGTAATAATACCATGTCTTTGTGTGATAGAGAGACTCCCACTCTTATAACTGTAATTAATAGATCTAACTACAAAAGAGCCAATATATCTCCAAAACATCTTCAAAAATTCAGCAGAAAAACCATCAGACCCTGGGGATTTATTAGATTTCATTCTGTAAAGTGTATCTGAGGCTTCTTCCATAGTAATTTCACCTTCTATAGATACTGCTTCTTTACTTGAAAGCTTTGGTATTTCTTCATTATCTAACTCATTAAATAAATCAGTATTTGGGTTGACTGCACTTTTTTTATATAGTTGTTCATAAAATAATTTTGCTTCCTTTAAGACTTCTGATCGGTCATAAATAACATTACCATAATTATCCTCCAATCTAGGTATAATCTTACTAGTAAAATTTCTAGATTCTGATGTGCAAAAATAGTGTGATGGTTTTTCACCTTCCTCAACCGATTTTGCTCTACTTCTGATATAAGTACCTTGCAATTTATGTTTTCTAATGTTCTTTAATTCTTGTTTTTACTATATAATTCATCAATATTATTTTCACAAACATTTTCTTCCAACAGTTTAATACTTTCTATGAAATCTCTCTCCTTGTTTTCTCTTTTCTTTTTGATATATGATGCATACGAAATAGTCTTACCTCTTATTTCTAAAAGCAGAGTTTCTAAAAATAGCTGATCATTAACAGTGAAAGAAATATTTTTGTCTGGATTATTATCTATGTTGTCAAAGTTATACACTGGGATTGCGAATTGTTTCTTAACCTCTAAAATAGCATTTTTAATACAATCTAGATAATTTTCGTCATGAAGTAAGGAATTATTAAACTTCCATAACCCCCTACTTTTCTTAAAGTCATTAAAAGCTATAGATAAGGATATTATGGAGTGATCTGATCTATAACTAGCATCTATAGTGCACTTTTCTAATCCTGACAAGAGGGTTTCAGATATTAAAAAGAAATCTAAACGGCTTTGCTTCAATGGAGTTTTCCTTCTCCTGAATATCTACGTTCATTTTCATGCAGCTGTCTGAAAGAGTCAACATAACCATTATTTTCTATTATTTCCAAAACTTTATCTCTTGCCTTTGGATTATATATAGATTTGTAATTATAATAGTCCAAGTCAGGATTTATAACTAGGTTGAAATCGCCACACAAAATAATATTACTACACTGCATATCATCAATATATTTTTGTAAGTTTTCAAAGAAAAGTAGTGTGTCATTATTTGGACCATAAATATTACATATGTAATAGGGTGACATTTTCAATATAATTATGATTAATAAATGATACTAAAGGTATATTGTGTTTCTTGTTGTTTTATGATTATTTCACTTGATCATCATCTACATCATCATCATCACTTTGTATATATTGAGTTGAAACACAATTAGATACACATTCCTGTATTGCCCTATCCTTCCTTGGTTCTTTTATTGTGCTATTCATTGATTATTAGTTGACTTCTTCAATTAATGACTTTTTGGTATTTAATGCCTATGGTTATTTTACCTATGTGGTCATTTTCAGACATGTGATACATGTCATGTGGTTTGAAGAACCAATAGATTTACTTTATATATTTTCCCGCTTTTGGTGAACTGCCTTTGTTCATTAGAAAGTTAGTTTCCGTAGAGGAAAGGTCTTATAGTATATAATTATGTAGTGACTGTATCTATGTGAAGTCTGCCATATTTGAATTATCCTGACCGACCTGAAAGATGTACTGACAGATAGTAAGTGCACTCTATATTTTATTATCTGATTTAATATTTTCTGTAAATTATCTAATTTATGCATTTTCTATCATTCATGAGTAAATTCAATTGATTTCAAGTTTATTTCTTTTACTTTTATCATTCGACCTTAGTAATTAGAAATATCAGTTATCAATTTCATTGATGGGATATGATTATTGATTCTGTAGTTATATAGTTAAATTATTATTTACAGTTGATATGTAGTATACCCGAGACTTGTATCAGGCAGCTAATTGAGTTTAAGCCTTGTTCCATAAACAGGTAATTAATTGATAAGAATATGAAATATAATACTTTTATCTTAGATAAATGTAATGTGAAATAGTTGCATTGAAATGTATATATTTATTGAGTAATATTGTATATGCATAATATTCATTATCAGGATTAATGTTTTTAATATATTTTAATGCAGTCAAGGGAAATAACTTGTAAAGTACTTTAAACTTTAAGAAGATAGCAAGAGTTATCCTTCTTGTAATATACATATTCCCTTGTAAGTTATTGTTGATTTTTTATGCTCAATATTGATTATTCCTATTACAGGGCTTAACTACAACTATTATATTATCATTGTGTCCATCCATATCAACACTGAAGTATTTAATAATAAACGATGAACCCATAAGTGGTGTGTTATTCTTCACTTAAGGCCACTACTACACATATCAAAACTTCATGGCCCTCTATATATGCTTTAAGTAAAATATAATTCCCATCAACATCACCCTTTTCTGAAAGAGGTTTAAAATCAAAGTTATTGTTAACTAGAATTACCACTCCCCTAGAGTTTGTGGTGCATGAGCTGAAAAAACACTGGTATCCCCACAAATTTCTTACGTTTTCAACATCACATGAAAAGTGTGTATCTTGTAAACAATAAATATTATATTTTAAGGCTCTTAAGTAATGAAAAACATCCTTGCGCTTTGCAATATCACCTAAACCTTGGCAGTTCACTGAAATAATTTTAACCATTTAGAATAATTACAAGACGTTTACGAGTTGATACCCACCATGGAAACAAACAATCGGAGCTCATGTTGAAACTTAAAAGAGAGAAAGAAAGAAGAGAGTAAGAGCACAAATATAACAATATAGATGAATTAAATTTTTTCAGTAAAAAAAAATCAACTGAAAGTCAAGCTGACTACCGTCATGGAGTTGTAAGTCACATTTTGGAAGATTTAATGCAAGTTATGGCCGGAAAAGCGTTTTGGTAACTATTGTCGAAGGAGGTATGGTAGATGATAGGTTTACTACTATTGTGAAAAGTACGGATGTTTGATTTACTATTAGTAACAACTTTGAAACTTTGGTTTACTGAAGATAAGTTATAGTAAACCTAAGTTTATTATTAGTCTACTACAAGGTTTTGGTAGGGAAAATGAAAGTCAATGGGAAATGAGATCTTGAAATGTTTTAAGAACATAAACATTGAATGAATTTAAACGTCTAGATAATTAAAGTATTTAAAAATCTAGAATGTAGGTAATACCCCAAAGGACAAAGAGAAATAATACAATAAATAAGCATAATATACGTTTTATTTTAACTAGCATTTCTAAGTCAATTTGCAAATATACATATACACAATGTAAATTGTCGTACAATACACATTCAAGAAAAAAAATAAATAATACAAACTTGGGCAATCTGTTCCCTTACATCACGAGAGAACAACTCAAACGATTTAATCTCAGCCTTATAATGTCTAAATAGAAAAAAAAAAAACAAACAACCATTCTACAGTATGCTTTTGCATGTTGGTAAAACTAAAGAAAAGGGATATAAAAAGGGATAACAGATACCTATGTAGGATAATAGCAGACACAATATAGACAATGTTACTAAAATGCCTATATTTTAAAACAGATTATATGTTATGTTAATTCATTCATAAGTATATGCATGACTAGTATTACAGTATAAATTGTATATAAACCACTGAATCCAAATTCGATTGGGCCCTTTTAAATAACATGTAATTTGTATATCGTAGTAGGTTTTTTACAAAGCGAAAAATATGTTTATGCAAAAATTGCTTAAAGATATTAACAAATACTTACACTGCCTGCTTATAGATTACTAAAATACAGATGCTACAGAATAAAAATATTTGGACAACAACAACCTCAGACAACAAATCACAATTTTTCCAACCCTTTCGAGATATCACAGGCTTTATTACAAATGTTATACAATATATTAGAGGCAAATTACGGCAATTCACACACACAAATACAAGTAGAGATGTACATTAATATCTACATGAAATATAGTACAATTTGCATTATATCTACATGAAATATTGTACAATTAAATGATTGTTAAAGATTTATTGTTTGATGAAGTAAAGAGATACACATAGAGACATAAGAGCAAAATTTTGAGAAAATATAAAATTGCACATTCGCCTTTCTTAATACTGTCCAAATGCAGTCTGGATTAAGAATGCAGCTTTGCTGTTACTTTATCTAAGGCATATGATCTTTGAATGGATTACAACCAAAATAATGAAAATATTATGCGGGATTTTTTATATCCTCTACTAATGTATGTTTACATCTTATAAATAATATGGTTAAAAAGAAGCCTAATTACGTTGATAATTAAATAATTAATGAACTTAATAATTATTTGCTAGTGCAAGTAACGTCTACGACATTTGTAATCTCTATCGTTTTCTATCCCGAATTCTGAATATACATGTTTGCTTTTATTTTTACATGTGAGCTTAAATCATTTCCGAAGCAAAATCAAAACACACTGTATTCTTTTTTTAACCGGGTGAAGGCGTATAAGGAGCTGTGCCATTAACAACATGGATAATGTGAACAGTGCGATACTCTGGCTCTGTATTGCCAGACTTGTTAGCCACAACAGCGATGAGAATGATGACAACGAGGACAAGGATAGCGATGACGACACCAATGATGATTGCTTTGGTCCTCTTGTTACATGTCTCCATTTTGGTTTTAACTTCAACGGATATCTCGTTAAACAGTGAAGCCTGAGGGATAAAAAGTGCGGTGTTATACGAGAATTTCAAGCTACTTAATTATTTGCAATGCTTCCAAACTGCATGAAGAACTGAACATATGAAATATGTCAATTCGAAGTTAAATTTACATCTTTAAATTAAGGTCTGATGATACGTTCCTCGAAAAACTGTTTTTGTATCTCTTCTTAATAAACCAGAAATATTATTAATTATTATTATCTTCTGATTTCAAACTGTTTTCAAAATGTCTAAAAACATATATACACTAAAAATTATTACATCAGCAATTCAAGTGATTTCTAAGACGATTATATAGTAATTATCATTCTTGCACAAATGCCTGGTAATGTGCCTCAATTCTTTTACTATCATTCCAATAACAGGTGTCCGTTTGCTTGATCGACCGAAGTAAAATTCCACAAACGGATTACCAAATTACCCATCCACTGGATGTTTGATTTCAATAGAATCAATACAATTTTACATATGAAACACAGAACCCTGCAATATCACTGATGTACGATGGTCGTTCAACAAATAATGCAACAAACAGTATATCATAGTAAATGTAGATCTATTTAATTTTATTTTTCACAGTTGAAACGTTCATTTAAAGAGCTCACAGAAAACCCCATGATGTTTCCTATTGTCCTCGCAAAGAAATTCACTTTTAAAGTATGCATGGTCACTACACTGAGCTGAAAACTGTTTAAAATTATCTCTCCCAAGAAGATGGAAATGAGAGCGTTTGTGAAAACTGTGCTTCTTTTAGAAAATCGCCGAAGAACTCATATTAAAGATATGTCTTTAACGCTGCATAGTTCTCAGATTGGTTCAGCAATTCAAAAGTAAAAAAAAAAAGGAGAGTTAAAATATAAAAGTCAAACTGCTCGATTGAAATTTGTAGGAACACCAAAAATCATCGATGTTATGTGAAATATAATATCTAAGAATGCCAGATTTACATGCAAAGACATTGCTAGAACACTAAGCATTTCATCGTCATAACATTTTATAGAATTCTCACACGGAAATGTACATAATAATATTTCTATCAGATAGATGCCTTATTTTTCTAAAATTTCCTGAGAGAAAAATACGCATTAAATATGCCAACGGTCTATTTAAAACCAAATATTTCAACAAAATAGAAGACTTGTTAAATTTGTGTGATGGTTGACGAAACATGGGTGCAATTTTATAGCCAAAATGGAAGATGAATAATAAAATGTGGAATAAAAGATAAAGCTATTGTTCTTATTATTGTAAAGAGAAACAAGGGCTCCTAGCATGTTTTATTAGTTTTCATTTTTTTTCAAGAGGTTCAGTAAAACATGTACATACACCCAAGGAAGGACCATCAATGGTAACTTTTATGTTCAAATACAATGAAGAAAGGTAAACAAATTTCCTGCAAAGAAGTCCAAATGCTGCCCAGGGTAATTTTCTTGCACCTGGCAACGTTGCTGCAAATAAGCACAGAGAAATAAATAAAATTCTGAAGAAAAGAAAGTTTACAGAGCTTTGCCATTCTCCATATTCGCTAGATCTCAGCCATTGTGAGATCTTTTTATTCCAAAAATGCATAAAAACAATCAAAGGAAGAATGTACAATATTAAATATGTCATTGAAAGTTATATTCATCAGTGTCTTTGGGGCATCCCTAAAGATGGGTATGCTGGGGTTTTCTGGTCATGGGTACAAAGACTTAAGACATGTATAAAGGATAATACGGAATGCTTTGAGGGATTGAAAGTGTTTAGAATATGTATTACGTATTTTTCTTACTTTAAGATGACCTATTGCATTATTTATTGAACGACCCTCGTAATACTGAACAATCACATTAAATGAGTGATTTGTAGTAAACAGCAACACAACACGTGGTCAGACAAAGTCCTTTTTTCTGCATGTGTTATATATGGTTATGATTAGATATTTCTAGCCCAAGGAAGAGATATTCCAAAGATTTTGATTTATAACAATATTTGATCCACACAACAAAGTGCTAGAGTTTATTGAACATCGAAAATGAAACTCTAGCGCTTTGTTGTGTGAATCAAACGTATTGTAATATGCATTCTTTAGCTATCACTTGCATACCGCACCCATGTACCAGTACTCAGGAGCATTGTTTACTAGTTTTCACGTAAAGATTCGTATGAAATATGTGGAGATAACGAACAGTATTCGAGCTCAAAAGTCCATTTAACATTACAAAATAGGAGCAGAGCAAACACGGACCTCTAAGACATCAGACGTGGGATCAGGTGCCATGGAGGAGTGAGCATCCCCTGCCGACCGGTCACACCCGTCGTTTGCTCCTTGTCATGATCGGGAAATAACGGAAAAATCCGTCGACAATTCAGTGTGTAAATAATGGCCTGACAATTAGTATGAAAAACGTCAGTCAGCATTTGACTTAATGAAAGATGTTTTTGCTGACAAGGTCATTATATCGACCATAGAACTTACGAAATGATGATTTAAACGAGACTGTTGATATTCTTGTTTCATCAACTTGTTTGTCAATAACTTACTTCGTTTTCGAAATTGTTCATACGTAGAGAATGCTCTGGCGTATCGAATCAAATATTTTTACCCGGTCAATTCACAATTGAACTTGACACGTTAGATTATAGAAAGTATTACTGTTATACAAAGTAAGACAGGCTTTGACTGACCACGTATTGCTGTTTTCTACCGTAGTAAATAATCATTCAACGTGTTCGATGCGATTGGTCAATACTCTCGGTGGTATTTGAGATCCTGTGTTTTATATGTAAAGTAGTATGTTTTTTTAACCAACCAGCCAATCAAAGAGTAATATGGTAATCAACGTGTGAACGTTTAGCACGCTTGATCAAGCAAAATGACACGCTGTTATTGGAATGTTAGTAAGAGAAAACCTGTTAAAGTATCAATATTTCAATCCCAAATTCTTGGGAAAAATATATACAATTGAACTCCAATATCTCGAACACGGATGTCTCGAATACCACGGATACCTCGACGTTAGTTGGAATTCCCAACTGCTTTTTTTCTTTGTTTATTTTTACCTAAATATCTCGATATTTTCACATCGAAGTTTTTTCTGTTTTTAATTGACTCATTCAGTTTGTGATCACGAAATTTGACTGTATAATTGAGGAACGTATCGTCTGCCCTTAATGGATTTTCTTTGTCCCGTAAGTTGCGGAAAAGATACATGTAAGTGGGGAAATTTAATACCATATACAAATGTATATCTGTGCATTATCTTATGCTTTTCTTAAACTTATGGACGCCAAAAATGGGATACATTCTTTTCAGTATGCTAGTAAGAAAATATTATATTTTTTCAGTGGAATGAGGAAGAAAAATTAATTACAAAAATGAAAACAACAAAAGAAAAATCAGCACCAAACTTCTATCGTCCAATAGGATTAATAAATCTTCATGTTTAACCGTGATTTAATTTAAATTTGTAATATACATGTAGTGAAAAGGCTTAACTTTTAAAAACTAAACCTTGTGCTTAATCCCTTTGTAATTACAAAGTGCAATAAAATATGTTCAAACCAAAATTAGTATTGCGTCATGACCTTGCTGTTCGAATCTTAAGAGGATTTCTCTATGTTCCTATGAAGAAACATAGATTTTTAGTATAAATTTCTAAGTAAAAGTTTGATCCCCTGTTATGTGTTTCAGAGGAGCTAAAATGTCAGAGAGAAAAGGTGTTACACAGTATTTTTTTTGGGGGGGGGGGGAGGGGGTTATACGTAGTTTTTTGTGAAAGAGATGTAAGTTAATGTAATTTAAGCATTTTACGATTATCAGAGTCGAAATTGGAAAAATTTCATGCCTTTAATAAATTGTAATGTGAAAATTGAGGATTCTTCTTCAATTTCTATGAAAGTTAAACATTTAGTGTGTAATCAAAAATTAAAACGATAAACCCTACAAGGACACCGAAATAGAGATAAGAACAGATAGATACAGGTATATGAAGATGATAGCATCCAGTGAACATTGGATAGGGTGTAGGAAATGCATTTTCCTTCTACAGTATGATATTTTGACGAATTATAACATTTTTTTTCACTAAAATTGCACTTCCGATGTAGTATCGATCCACCACTTATTTGGAGAAGATATAGTGATATTTTTGAAAATGGTGGACTTTGTTTTCTTTTGTGTATGTATCATTGTCGAATATTCGCGGTATCTACGCAGTTTGTTACATGTTTGAATAAAGTGAAAATGGCGTTATCAATCAACCACTTCGAATCATCGAATGATTTTAATATTTTATAATGTACATTAGGTGGGTTATTTTACAATTAAAAGACAGTCTATGTCTGTAAGCAATTATGTATCCTGTAACACTGACATAAATCAACGAATATAATGTAAAGGAATTGTTTTAATTGGTGACAGGGTAAAACAACGTAACGTGTCTGGATGGCAATGCTTACAAAAGTATGTACGATTTTGATTAAGATGTGATACAGTTTGGATGAGATTGACCACCTATTGTTCGTTGTTGTTGTTTTTTTTTTTTTTGTTTTTTTTTTTAAAAAAACCTCTACAGGTCCATAGCAGCGGTTTTAAACGTGTGTGTGTGGGGGGGGTTAACCTCCAGAAACAAAAAAAGTTATACGGTCCAAACTCGAAAATCTTATTTCTTGTGGGGAGGGGGGGGGCTTCCTTTTAATTTGGTACATTTCTTTTCAAATGCTGGAATTCGTCAGTAGCAACAAAAACGGGGAGGGGGCAACAAGCATCTAAATGAAAATATATATATTAAAATATTAAAACTAAAGCAAAATACTACACTCAGAAAAAAGTAATGCACCCCTCCCCCCGACGTTCTCACTCCCCCAAGTTCTATGGGCCTGTACAAACATGGTATAATATTATCAATATAACAATATGGATTAAACACCAAAAGATTGCGTTCTCCCGAGCAATGATTCGATCGTTAATCGGACTGAATTTGTTCCTGTTATGTTGCGTGCCTGAGAAAGAAATTTAATTCGGACACTTAAAAACGAATAATTGTCCCTAAGCTTTGTATCCATCAAAGTTTTAGAAAAGACACATTAAAACTTTCTTGATGTTTATGTCGTACTAGTAATATTAAGGTAAGGGCAGACAAACTTTCCTCGAATACTAGTATCTGTTTTGTATCTCTTCGTTACATAGAAAAATATTTCATGTAATTATTTTCATCATCTTGTGGTTTCTATTGTTTTCAAAATATCTTATAAAAGAAAATCGCCAAAAATTATTATATTGGCAATTTAAGTCATTTCCAATAGGATTATGTATTAAACATCATCCTCTTGTATTTTGCACAGATGTCTGGTAAGGACCTCACTTTTTTGTGAGTAAACGTGCCAAACTGACAAATTCTTGTGGAAAATTACACGTTTTTGAGAAAAGTGTCGTCTGACCTTAAATAATATCTTTTCAACAAGTACATTTGTATTTGAATGAGGAATCCTGTCGTGGAATACTCCGCGTTTTTGCACATATGCCGTCACTGTGGCAAGTAGTTTTCTGCAAAGTGACAACATCAGAAAAGAAAATTTAAAAATAATTGAAAAATGTGAAACAGCAACTGTATTTATAAAATTTGGACATATTTCCAAACTGACAAATAAAATTATACAACTACCTTACGAAATTAATAATATCCTTGTATTTAATCAGGGAGTAAAAATATCATATCATAAATGTATATTCAAACCAGAATGAAGGATGTGTTTCATAAAATGCTAACCTCTGGTGAATGCAAACATCACCCAGGCATGACCTTCACTTCAAAACAAGCATCACTTGCAACTAGAGGTGTTATTTAATCTTGATGTGACAGATAAAGATCAGGCTCTGAATATTCTATAGCAAGATCTTGAAATTCTAAAGCAGATGAGTTAATTAACCACAACTCATTATAGCTTTCATAGTTTACAAGAGGAGCAGTTATCTCATATGCCCATTCATTCCTATATAAAATTAGGAATCTACCCCACCAACCCAGCCCCAAACCGGATAACGTACAGAATTAAAATTAGTATCAAAATTAGCCTTACTGCCTGTTCAACAAGGAAACCTATACTTAATAGGACTACCATAAAAAGTTATTAGGGAAAAAAAACAGAAAAATTTGCGGATGGTAGAATGACAGACAGAGAGACACAGGAACCCTCGAACTTGGGGCCAAGCATTTCACAATTTTGGAAGAGACACCCTTGCTCATCATAACTATGCATTTAGTTTGTTTGCTTAATACCCAGTAGCAGAGGAGAAGATTTACAAAGTATTAATGCATTTCCGCTATAAAATCAAATGAACCCCACCTTAAGGTACTACAAAACACCAATTTAATCTATTTTAACTAATTTCTTAAAATTTTCGTGAGAAAAAAGAATGACATCCCTATATTGTCAATAATCAATGATCTTTGTAAGAAAAATAATAAGCTGTGACATGTTTTCATCATATTTAAAAAAAAAATAGAGACGTCCTATATATTGGTCACTTGGGAGTTTACATTTTAGAATGTGTTTATGCTGTCTAAATGCGATATGTCAAACTGTTATTAAATGCAGTGTAACTTTTGATCCATAAATAGTAGAGGGCTGATATTTGGACATATACGGTGAGGAGTCTCCATTCTTTATCTACAATAAAGGTCAAGGTCATATTAAGAGGTCAAAGGTTGTGACGTCATATACTGAATCTTTCACTTTTTTGCCATTGAATTCTTTTTAATCGCTATCTGAATTCATCATTTCAATTTTCCGTATTTTGACACATTATAATCTGTGATCCATTTCACTCAATCTGTTGATTTTTTGTAAAAATTGAATCATACATTTTCTCGTAAGAGAACTTAAAGTGTAGCATATTTTCATGTGAATTTTCAATTCTGGAGCTGAATATGTTCTAGTTTTACATCATATTTTACTCAAATTTACCAGTATCAATATCTTTTACTGAACTTAAGCAACAAAAAGGCTGCCTCAAGATATAGCCATAAATGGCAAACTTATAAACGTATTTTCAAAATTGAGGAGTTCCAACTTTCTGATTGGTTGTTTATAATCGACGAATTTGCATAATAAACGACGATATTTCAGCGAGTTTGCCCACGGGTGATAAGTTTAAGACGAGGATATATCGTGGGTATCCAACGATGGCCCCACTAAACCTCCGGGGGGGGGGGGGGGGGGGGCAAAAACCATCAAATTCACAATATTTGCACCCCTTCATTCATTAATGCTATATTCCAAAATTGGTTGAAATTGATTGAGCAGTTCCTGAAAATATTCAAATGTTAACATACGACAGATGACGACAGACGACCTAAACAGTGGATTTTTCTCCTTCCTTTGATACTACATGCCTGTGTAAAGTTCTATTATACTAGTATCCGTAATATCACGAACGGTATTTTCTCCATTTAAGTGCATTTTAAACAAACAATCTGGTTCGCATTGGTCTACATGATTTAGAAATTTGAAACTGTAGCCTGCCTAAAGCAGAACATAAAAATGTTGAATTTTTCATCGAAACCAGAATGTTGACAGTCTCGAAATCGTTATACATTTTTAAGGGTACATAAAATAAAACACGTTTTAAAACATTCTTTTCTTTGGTATTGGAAACATATTAAACTTTTGATGCCTTATTTGTAAAATTTTTTTTTCTTTTTTCTGCTTTAGATTGAAATGCATTAAAGGGACCTAGACACAGCAATATTGCAGTTTTTGAAATTCAAAGATTCAAACATTCTTCAAAACATCATGTCAAACACCTGTGCTTGTAAACACGGGCATAAGCTCTGTTATTGTTAATGTTAACGTTTTACTGGTCGTGTTCATTCTGCTTACTCTGCACACATCACTGAGCACGGATTAACAATACTGGTGAGTTGGTTTTGCTTTTTCATTAATACACAACAAATTTTCCACTTTTCTTAAATACTGAAATTGCAAGGATGTGTGTCAATCAATCGCGTCCCAAAACTGGTAGTTTTAATAGTTTTCAGATAAAAAAAAGTTTCTAAACACACTCTTATAATATTTTTGGTGATACGCTCTGGCAACATATGTATTTATACTGAAAATTTTAGAAAAATATAAACTTCAAATCTGTGTCCAGGCCCCTTTAAATATTAGTTTAACATTATCAAATAAAAATGTATTTTGAAAACAAAATCAAAACACATCATTTTGATAGAGGAAATGTCTGTAAATTATCCATAAAAAAACAAACAAATAATATTCACTGAAATAACGATCGAGAAATGGTACTCAGAATTCGACGTCTGTATTTTACGCCATTTTCACTTCAAAACACGTCACAACCGACGGTGGATACATGAAAGTGTGTATGCAATTTTAAAATGGTTACATTAATTATCTCTTCATCCACATCAGTAAGTCTTGAAAAGTCACAAATCTCTCTCTCTCTCTCTCTCTCTCTCTCTCTCTCTCTCTCTCTCTCTCTTACCTTTTTAGATAGTTCATCAGCTCGATCCTCCAGATCATCAAGATTTTCTTCTCTTTCATACAACTTGTCGACATTATTCTGAGCAATTTCTTTTAACTCTCCTAATTGGCCTTTCACTTCCAATATTTTGTCAGATGTGTTCTTTTTCTGAGGAAAAATAACTTGTGTGTCTTTGTAAGCCATTAAACTTTTTTTTTTTCAGTCAGATCTCAAATGATATAGATGAAAAATGGTGAAGCTTTCAAACAACGAATGATTTCAAAATTTCTACAAACAAGACAAATCTGTGAGCAGGGCATAAAACACAGACCCCTGGAAATCCAGAGGTCAGATCAGGTGCCTAGAAGGAGTAAGCATCCCCTGTTGACCTGTCACACATGAGCCCTATGTATTGACGACGTAGAAATACATTCTGTAGTCAAGTTTAGTATAAAAAAAAAAGGGGGCTAGAATTGGTATAAAACACATTAACTAAAATACGACCCAATGACAGGTTATATTTGTTAACAAGGTCATTATATTATAATGACCATAGAATTTACGAAATGCAGACTTAAATCGAAGTTATTGAAATCCCTGTAATATCAATTATCTGTCAGTAGCCTGTCTCGGTTTTAAATGCTCTTGAGTATCGAATAAGTTGGGAGATGTAAACACTATATGCAGGTGATAGCGGAATATTACTACATAAATAAGGAAATTAATTACGTTGACGATGGAAAAGCTGAAGTCATTTTGTTTGTCATACAATTTAGTTGTTAGTTGGCCCTTATCGTCTATAGTCAGTAAACATCTAAATGTGAAAGAAATGTGGAAGACTCAGAGGTGTCTTCTATTTCAAGCTTACTCAGATATATCGAGTCGACATATAAATGGAAGTAACTATTGTTAATTGAAAAATGTCATCAATATATCTGAATGTCCAGTTTAGCACCACAGCAAGTGTGTTTTTCTTCTCATTTAGAAGATTTTGAATAAAATCTGCCTTATAGGAGTATAGAAAGTCGGCTATAAAGGAGCACAGTTAGTGTCCAGCGAAATTTCAACAGTTTGTTGGAAGATCTGGTCTCCGAAAACTACCTAAATGTTATTTAAAAAAATTAAGGAACTCAAGAATCCTTTTGATATCAACTGTAGAGTACTTTTTTATAGAACCAGAGTGATTTTTAACAACGTAATTTTTTTTAAATCACAAGATACGAAAGTTTCCACGCTCCATTTTGTTGTAGATCCAGTTACATATTACAATACTTTACAACACCTCCCCATGAATTTGCTTTTTCTATCGTATTACATCTCCACACTGAAGTTTAATTAAATGAAATGGTTTTTCTTCGTTTTACCTACCTTGACTTCTTCATTGTCACCTGGCTGACCTTGTTCCATCAAAGGGAACATCTCGGGTTCATCTGAGTCCGACTTCTTTTTCTGTAGGAGGAATAGAATATAGAAATACTAGATAAGAAAGCCTCATCTTTTTATAGATACTATGATGTTTGATAAAGTATCGTAACTAAACCACCAAGACCCACCTTGCCCTTCCTTTTTATTGCTTTTATTATCTTCTGTGGCATTTTTGTCTTTGGTTTGTCTTCCTCCTATAATTAAGCACCTTCTTTTCATTTTCATCCAATGTAAATTAAGAAAGGGTTTTTTTTTAATAAATCACAATGTGTCTTTTTTTATGCAAAGTAATGACAATGATTTTCAGTAACCTCATTCTCTGATTCCATGTCCTGAAACACAAGCTCTAACTGCCTCTTCCTTTCTTCCCTATCTGCCTGGTAAAAGAATTGCCAATAAATATTATCAAATTTCTTATTAAAACAATAAATATAATAATCATCTACGAGGGCTGTTCGAAAATTATTGAGACAATTACTTTTACTCCACAAAGGACAGAGATAAATTCATGAAAGTTCGTCAACATTTCATAAAGAACAAATAAAACAATTGTGCAAAATTTCTAATTTATAGGATAATTAAATAGGTTCCGGTGAAATTATAAACAAGCATATGTGTATTGACCTGGAGCAGCATCGCTACGTCATTTTTCGCCTGGTCAGACGTTATTTTCTCATTGTGAATGATCGGGAATCGTTCAATCTACTTTCTCTGTCATTTCATATAACATTCCAAAAATTCAAACTGTATCTTATAATTCTTAAACAATTCTCCAAAAAAAATTAAAATAAAACGTGTCCTGTTGCTACCCCAGTGTAAAATATACACGAAGTGTCATATACAGGTTGACTTAGTATCATGCAGTACCGAGTTATGCAAGGCGGGTCAACGTTATTTAGTCCGTAATAATTGATGGTCGTCCGAAGCTTTTGTTTTTACTCTGGTTGAATTATTTGTGAGAAAAAATATACCAATGAAAAAATAAACCCTTAGACATGTTTTATTGCATTGTTTTTGTTTTAGCAGGTCATTTAGTCTGGACAAGAGTTCTCAATACCGCTACACAAAATTTTAGGTATGCTCGCTGCTCCGCCTTGACGTCAAAATCCGTTTAGTCGTCGTTATCAGATTGCTATACCGCGCTTAAATTTTTTAATGATCTCCGTTTTTCTGATCGAAATTCTAGCAAACTTGCACAAGATGAAGTCAAAATTAAATCGAAAAATTATATACATAATTTGAATTATTTTCGCTCTCACTATGGATCCACTGGGAGTTTTTTTGTTGGTGTTACAAATTTTCAATATCTGATTTCTTGTAGGGTACCCCTACCATTGACACATTTATATACCATTGAAAAGAAAAAATAAAATATTTTAAAAATATTTCTTGCTTTTATCAATTCTTAGTGTTTGTCTTACGTATATGCAAATTTTCACCGAAAAACATTCATTAGAAAGAAGAATATACACAATGTCTCAATAATTTCCGAACAGCCCTCGTACAATTTACTAACATGTAATGTTTTGTGATATGTACTTTACTAGTCACGGCTTAAAATACATTTTCATATATCTAGATGAAATCTAGCTGCAGAACTTTAGTTCTCTGGTTTAGAATATTCGGACAGATAAACGATTAATATATTCACTATTTACGGATGATTCACTTGTCCTTGTAGCGACAAAGATCCACCTAAGCGTGTCCACCACTTTACTCTTATCTTTGCTATTTCGAGGTGGAATATTGAAAACGAAAGTTTTTTTTTTTTCTAATTAAATTCACGATAATTGCCGATGATCATGTGCGTTTCAATTATAGTATAGGAAAATCATCTCAGTTGTGATGCAATATTTAAGGTACAAGCAGTATATCCGGTGGAGGCCTATCAAAGTTTATTGGCAAAATGTATTCATTTATAAGTATAGATAATGTCATATTGCTCAAGACATACTCCTACCTCACTTTCTTGGACCTTCTCTTCAAGGAGTGTGCTAGAGGATTCTTCCAAATCATAGGGTTCCTCATATTGACTCTTAAATGAAAATATTGTATCATAATAAGAGCATTTCAAAGACAAAAATCATTACAACCAAACTTTATATCATGTATTAAGAATTTCTTCTCACAGTAAAGTAGGAATGCTGTGAGTTGTCCAGTCAAGGGCCCTGTCCCAAAGTCAGTTCTCTCATTTACAAAATGGACAGTTTGGGGTTTAACATACACGTATATAAAACATGATATCGAATGACTCATAAGGTATCGTCTTGATTACGGAAACACTGGGTAGTTTGAAACGCCATATTTTTTTCTTTAGTATTAGCATGTTTATTTTCTGTAACGTTTAATGGACTTTTGAGCTTGAATACTGTTCGTTATCTCCATATATTGCATCCTAGGTATATGTTCTTAAAAAAAATCAAAATTAAAACTTTATTTATGCATCATATTTCTTATGTTAGCATTCTCAACAGTATCAGGCGAAAAAAATATATCATTATTTGACTTTTATCTGAAAATATACCAAGGGGAGTTAATCGTCATTATTCTTACTATTTTCATAAATAAAGTGATGATAAAAAGTGGTCAATCTCAAAATTCTTTAAAATACAAATACAAATTTGTAAACAGGTCATGAAACACGGACCCCTTGAAACTCCAGAGGTCGGATCAGGTGCCTAGGATGAATAAGCATCCCCTGTCGAACTGTCACACTCGACATGAGGTCTGTGTATTGATCAGATAGATGAAGTAATCAGTTGTCAAATTTAGTAGTAAAATATTTTGACCTATTGGTATGATACATGTCAGTCAAAAAACGACCCAATGATACAATGTAGGTTGTATTTGCAAGTAAGGAAATTACAACAACCACAAAATTTTCGAAATGCTAACATTAAACTAAGTTGATAAAATCCCTGTAAAATTAACGTATTTGTAAGTAGTCTTCTCCATTTAACAACTGATCGTTCTCAGAGCATGCACTGGAATGTCGAGTAAGTTGGGAAACATTTAATCCATATGCTGGTGATCGTGGAATATAATATAAATAATTAAGGAAAGCTGTCAATGGAAAAGTTGAGTCATTTTATTTTGTCATATAGCTTAGTTGTTATTTAGCCATTATTGTTCATTGTTAGTAAAACATCCCAATATGAAACAATTATGGCAGACTCAGTTGCGCCTTTTATTTCGAGTTCACTTGGATATATCGATTCGACACATGAATGAAAGTAACTATTGTTAATTGATAAAACATCCTCGATATATCCAAATGTTGAGGCACTGCAAGAGTTTTCTTCTTCTGATGTATAAATGTTTAAATAGGAATTATAAAACAGGTCGCCTAATCAAGGCGCACAGTCAGTCCCATCGGTATTCAAACAGTTTGTTGATAGACCTGGTCTCCAAAGACTACATAGATAGTTTTTGCTATATGCCAAATGTTAATACATTCTACTACAGAATATACATAATCTTAACTGAATTTGTTATCCCCCTTGATCAGAAGTTTTTTATATCAGGTCTGGATTTCTTATGAAACTCTTTCATGTTCAATTTGTCTATGGATTGTGCTATTTTTGAATTCTTGCACATACATTTACTTTTTATTGTATGTATCAGTCTTTGTTAAATCTTACCTGTTCTTCCACTATCACTTCATCAATCTGTTGACTTGAAATAGCTATAGATGAGTCTTGCTCATTTGACTCCTAATGGAAATGATATAATAGTATTCCAAAAATCATTAGTGTCACAAAAATACTTTAGCCATTATTTAAAACTATTTTTAATAAAACAAACAATTCAATTTTCAGCTTTAACAAAACTCCAGCGAAAATTAAAATGTAATTGCCTTGAAACGAATGATCTATTTTTCCAAATAATGACAAGAACATTACGATTGTTACGAAGAAGACATCTCCAAGCTAGAGCTTACCAGAATTTTGGAGGATTTTCTAAATGACAATGTCTTCATAATTGAACTCCCTTTCTTCTTTTTCTGTAAAATACAACAAAATAAATAAATATATTCCTTTTATTTTCTTTTTACACTTAACAATTCAATTCTTTCTGGTAAAACTCAGGCTAATTGTATAAGGATGATAACCTTGGTTGGCTCGTTTTCCATTTCAATATCGAGTGTTCTCTCATTTCGGGGTAGTGTCTATAAAAACATCAAAGATAGTTTACGCAAATTCTCACGAAATTTAACATAAATATATTGACGGAAGCATCAACTTACAGCTGATTCTATTGTCACGGTGGCGGATCTAGGTTTGCTGTTCTCTTCAGTAGGCGACTAAAAGTAAAGACAGAAATGGTACGGATTTATCTCTTTGTTTGTTTGTTTGTTTTAGTTTTGTTTTGTTTTTTTTTCGTTGCAATTATATTTTATTATAATATACACCTTGTTTTATTATTAACATGAATAATAAAACTACTAATAGTTAATATTTCATAATACTCAATACTACTAGACTTCTAGGCATCACTAGAAATCTTTGACCATAGTCATCATGCACTATGAAAGGTAACGCTTCCAACTTTAAACCACAAAGATTAAGGAATTACCTTGATTGTGTCACATACTCACTATTTACCTCCCCTATATGATTAATACTTGAATACTGAAGAATTTTTTAAAAAAAATTTAAGAAGATATTATTAGATCCTTCCTTTTACAATAATACCTTTCCATTACAATTTCGACTAATAAGAAAATCTCCCTTTAGTACGCTAATACTGATCACATTGCTTTAATTCCTTCTTTTTTCTTATATGTACTTGTAAAGCTGACATTATATACATTATACACATACATGTACATATGTTATTTTGGTTAATTAAAAAGTTATAGACTTCATTCAGCATCAAATCATACATTTTTTTAAAAAGCTCTAATTATTTTAGCGGCTTTGTTTTGCACAAACACAAGTCAATTAGCGATCAATTTTATATTTCAAAGATAAATTCATCCCGAGTTTGTGTGTAAAAATATTAAAATTTTGAAAAAAGATTTCAATTTAAAACTATCATGTTGATCATCAGACACAGACTTTTACTTATATGGAGTGTTCGAGTAGATTATAGGTCATCAGACGCTGGACTATTAGTTACAAGGATTGTTCGATTTCGAATACAGCTGTTACTTAGAATGTTTCAGTAGCTTATTAGCTAAAGTGTTCAAACAGACTGTCACTTACATAGAGTGTTAAACAGGCTGTTACTTGCATGGAGTGATCAAGTAAGCTGTTACGTATAGTGTACAAGTAAGCTGTTACTTAGTGTGTCACTTACATGTAGTGTTAAGCAGGCTGTTACTTACATGGAATGTCTGAATAGGCTTTAACGTACTTGGAATGTGTTCGAATAGGCTGTTACTTAGAGTGTTCAAGTAGGCTGTTACTTTGAGTATTTGAGTATGCTGTTACTTGGAGTGGTCGAGTAGACTGTTACTTAAAGTGCTCGAGTGGGCAAGTTACTTAGAGCGTTTGATTAGGCTGTTACTTAGAGTGTTTGGGTAGGTTGTTACTTACGTAAAGTGATTTATAATAGACTGTTACTTACATGGAGTGTTCGAGTAGGTTGTAGTGTTTGAGATCTCTGCTTTGTCACCTCACTCACCATTAGGCTCTAAAAATTGCAAGTATTGCGTGTGAATATGCCCCATTTCTATAAAAGTTATAACAAATCATTTACTCTCCATGAGACTTTTAAACATTGCACGTATAAGGTGCATGTATGACTTTGCCTCATTTCTATTAATGTTATAAGTACAGATCAAAGGAATAACACAACTATACATTAAGTTGATCATGAAACAATGACAAACAAAAAGATAGGTTAATTCTTAGATGATGTGAAACAAACACACTGAGAATATTTCAAACTTTGATATATAATATGAATATATTAATTTAAAAATTGATATATAAATTTAAAAATTATTATGCCTTAAGTAGTCGAGCTAACTCAACAGACCTGTTGGTCACTGACAGAATAAGCAAAATTTGGTGGAGCACTGCTACGAACACCACTCATCTGTGGAAAAAATAAACTGAATTGTATTATACTGAATAAATCTCATCTATGCAAAAATTTACACACACGTAAAGAAAAAAAATTATTAGAGGAAAATGATTGACGTATCTCCATGAAAAAGTTAAGCAGGTATTTCTGAAATTCACTATCAATAATCGAGGATTACTGAATAACGTTATTGATATTTTTTGATTTGGTGAAAACTTGTAAAGTTTACCTCTGATTGACTGTATGGGGAAGAATGTATTACTTCTTCGTCTTTTATTTCAGCAGACTAGAGAAACATTAAGATTGATAGTTTATATTTGAACAAAGTATCTGACACATTTCATATCCAATCATCTTTTATTTTCATTTTTTTCAATATAAATATAATTACCTCTGCTTCATCTTCAGTTACTTTTCCTAGCACACTCTTCTTATGCTATTAATGTAGATTATAACCCTGTGATCTAGATTTCTATGTTATGTATTAAATCTTAATTCTTAGTTGCATATTTATTGTAATGTACACCATATCATTATACTAAAGTTTTGGGCGTTTGATTATTGATGCTTTATTTATGAAAATAATATCCTTATACTGTCTTATACTGTCCAAATATCTTACTGTCATCTTTTTTCTGAAAGAAGAAAATATCTTGGCCTCCTGACGGACTTTCTTATTCTGAAATGAAAAAAAGCAGCTGGCTGAATCCAAGGTATTTTAACCTTCCATGACAATGTTAAATTTCTTCTATGATAATACAGAACAGTTTGGAAAACGTACGATGTTTGGTGGCAATTCTTCATCCACAACTTCAACACTTTCTTTTTCATTCTGTAAAAAGTATAATCGCTTATGGTCTGCAATGTTCAATCTTTTAGAAATAAGAAATAAAAATATGTTTATACTTCACAAGGTACATACCATGTTAACAGGCCTTCCTTCCTCTTTAATAAAATGCAAAACAGGGCGTTGTTGCTGCAAAATATGAGTATCTATATTGCCAAATGCATTAAATATTTATAATGGGTTCCTCTAATAGCTGTATGAGATAAACAAATCTAAACCTACATTTTTGGGTAATCTCATGGATGAAAACTGTTTCGATTTATTTCTTTCTTCCCTTGACTGAAAAAAATTTAGATATGAACAGTTTTAAAGATTCCTTCTGATAAGAGAGTTTTCATTCCTGCTTTTGATACCAAAACAACAGTGCTTTTATTGGTTCTCAGCACAAGAAACTAATAATCACAAGTATTATCCATTCTCAAAAACAAGCTTTATTGAACTCAGGCCAAGACATAACAGAATAGTAAGGTAGTGATCTTCTACGGCTCTTCGACAAGGGTCAAGCTTGTTAATCAAAACAATAAGCATCAATTAAAGTATATACTCGACGGGTTAAGATATTTGTTAATATTATTTAAAACTCTACAATGCCGGTAAATTATAAATGACTTAAAGACACCATAAAGCATCTGAAAAATTAGTATATTATAGGAAACAAGAGGCCCATGGGCCACAACGCTCACCTGAGTAACTTTGGCCTTGCTGTTTTTCACCCGATTTCCCCCTTGTAATACCTATTGTGGCCCCGCCCTACCCCAGGGGTCATGATTTGAACAATTTAGAATCTACACTACCCCAGGATGCTTCCACATAAGTTTCAGCTTTTCTGGCCCAGTGGTTCTTGAGAACAAGATTTTTAAAGATATTTTCTACATATTTCAATGTAAAACTTGGATTCCCTATTGTGGCCCCGCCCTACCCCTGGGGGTCATGGTTTTTACAATTTAGAATCTCCACTACCCCAGGATGCATCCACATAAGTTTCAGCTTTTCTGGCCCAGTGGTTCTTGAGAAGAAGATTTTTAAAGACTTTTTCTACATATTTCAATGTAAAACTTGGATTCCCTATTGTGGCCCCACCCTACCCCAGGGGTCATGATTTGAACAATTTAGAATCTACACTACCCCAGGATGCTTCCACATAAGTTTCAGCTTTTCTGGCCCAGTGGATCTTGAGAACAAGATTTTTAAAGATTTTTTCTACATATTTCAATGTAAAACTTGGATTCCCTATTGTGGCCCCGCCCTACCCCCGGGGGTCATGATTTGAACAATTTAGAATCTACACTACCCCAGGATGCTTCCACATAAGTTTCAGCTTTTCTGGCCCAGTGGTTCTTGAGAAGAAAATTTTTAAAGATTTTTTCTACATATTTCAATGTAAAACTTGGATTCCCTATTGTGGCCCCACCCTACCCCTGGGGGTCATGATTTGAACAATTTAGAATCTACACTACCCCAGGATGCTTCCACATAAGTTTCAGCTTTTCTGGCCCAGTGATTCTTGAGAAGAAAATTTTTAAAGATTTTTTCTACATATTTCAATGTAAAACTTGGATTCCCTGTTGTGGCCCCGCCCTACCCCCGGGGGGTCATGATTTGAACAATTTAGAATCTACACTACCCCAGGATACTTCCACATAAGTTTCAGCTTTTCTGGCCCAGTGGTTCTTGAGAAGAAGATTTTTAAAGACTTTTTTCTACATTTTTCAATGTAAAACTTGGATTCCCTATTGTGGCCCCGCCCTACCCCCGGGGGTCATGATTTGAACAATTTAGAATCTACACTACCCCAGGATGCTTCCACATAAGTTTCAGCTTTTCTGGCCCAGTGGTTCTTGAGAACAAGATTTTTAAAGATTTTTTCTACATATTTCAATGTAAAACTTGGATTCCCTATTGTGGCCCCGCCCTACCCCCGGGGGTCATGATTTGAACAATTTAGAATCTACACTACCCCAGGATGCTTCCACATAAGTTTCAGCTTTTCTGGCCCAGTGGTTCTTGAGAAGAAAATTTTTAAAGATTTTTTCTACATATTTCAATGTAAAACTTGGATTCCCTATTGTGGCCCCGCCCTACCCCCGGGGGTCATGATTTGAACAATTTAGAATCTACACTACCCCAGGATGCTTCCACATAAGTTTCAGCTTTTCTGGCCCAGTGGTTCTTGAGAACAAGATTTTTAAAGATTTTTTTCTACATTTTTCAATGTAAAACTTGGATTCCCTATTGTGGCCCCGCCCTACCCCCGGGGGTCATGATTTGAACAATTTAGAATCTACACTACCCCAGGATGCTTCCACATAAGTTTCAGCTTTTCTGGCCCAGTGGTTCTTGAGAACAAGATTTTTAAAGATTTTTTCTACATATTTCAATGTAAAACTTGGATTCCCTATTGTGGCCCCGCCCTACCCCCGGGGGTCATGATTTGAACAATTTAGAATCTACACTACCCCAGGATGCTTTCACATAAGTTTCAGCTTTTCTGGCCCAGTGGTTCTTGAGAACAAGATTTTTAAAGATTTTTTCTACATATTTCAATGTAAAACTTGGATTCCCTATTGTGGCCCCGCCCTACCCCCGGGGGTCATGATTTGAACAATTTAGAATCTACACTACCCCAGGATGCTTTCACATAAGTTTCAGCTTTTCTGGCCCAGTGGTTCTTGAGAAGAAGATTTTTTAATGACCCCACCCTATTTTTGTCTTTTCTTGATTATCTCCGCTTGGAAGGGAGCTTGGCCCTTTATTTTAACAATTTAAACTCCCCTTTACCCAAGGATGCTTTGTACCAAGTTTGGTTAAAATTGGCCCAGTGGTTCTTGAGAAGAAGTTGAAAATGTGAAAAGTTTACAGACGGACGGACGGACGGACAGACAGACGGACGGACGGACGACGGACAACGGGTGATCAGAAAAGCTCACTTGAGCTTTCAGCTCAGGTGAGCTAAAAAGTTCATCAGTCAGTTTAATTAGTCATTAAGGAATATTTCCTGGATTGTTTAAGAAACCATTGAATACAACAACGATTCTGTTACCAGTAAATGTCCAGAATTCTCAGTATCAATGAAGTGGTCCGGAGATTCGTAAGAGTAGCTGTGAACACGTGGTTGTTCCAGAGCTTGTACATGATGCTGTCTGATTGCTACATCTGGTATTGTCTACACAATGACGATCATGCAAACATATTCAAAAAGCAGAACATGAAGCTATATGCCTTTTTACATTCATATAAATATGCAACAGAATGAAAATTGAAACCATATGTACATGTACAATCATTCAACAAGCACAACTACAATAATATACTGTAAAGGTGGTTATATTGACAAGTTGAACTTAAGATATACGATTGATTGTATTTATTTGATATGAAAAACAATTGCTGCATAATAATGTCCTTGTTAACCTTCTGCAAAATTCAAATGTGAATTTAAAGCTAAGGTAATTTTTCCCCAATAACTAAAATCAACGTGTACATGCGACACTAAAAAACAGGTTCACGTAACAATTACCGTAGTTTGCTTCATCATTTGTTCTTGGTGACTGACCGGAAGTGATGCCGTACTCTGAGAAGTGGGTGATTGAGCAACCTTTAAGGGCAATAGATTAATTTTTGCAATAGTAAAAATACATTTCTTTCATTATTGTTTATTTTGATATACATTACATTAATTTGCTTGAAACAAACTCTTACCGAAGTTGGCTGAACTTCAGATTCCACGTCTTCCTGCATAACAGAGTAATAATTTGATACAATTGCTTGAATATTAAAGAAAATGAATTTATGTATGTATATATTGGGTTACTTTGATACATATAGAAAAAGCCTATTTTTATTCTTCACTATTACTTCTAGCTGACAGTTTCAATATTCTTTTAATAGTCCATGTATCAAATGTTGATTTTTTTTTTAAATTTCACCCCTGCCTTTAAACTCTCAACTATACAAAATTTCTCATCTCACCCTGCAAACTCATCTTCGCTAGCTAAGGGTTTTTTGTTCCAATCCACTGCCGTAAATGTCAAAACATAAAGCTTACCTTTTTTCTTTTCCGGAAAGATGGTATTTTCATTTTCTTCTTCTTTTTCTTAGGCTAGGAACAAATGATTTTATCCAATGAATGTATGAAAATTAAAGCATTTTTAACTTTGCTTTTATTTTTTTATTTGATAAAGATTCAGAACTTTGCTAAAATGGCAGGTAATTTGAGTCTACCTCTTTATTGATATTGTCTTTCGATATTTCCATTTTATCAGATTCTTTCGAATTTTCTCTTTCAAGAGAGAACTGCACGTCTGTATCATGTTTCTGCTGAACATCTTGGGCAGGCTAAAAAAGAAATAAAGCGACTGTCTTGTTTTAATAGGAATGCCTGAAGCATTGCATAATCGAAAACCTCTGATGTTGCTTAATTTTTGTTCAAAATGTGTTTACGTGTACAAGTAATATTGTCAATATATTATCGAATATTTCGTTCGATATATTACACAAAGATGAAAAATATATTATTTTTCAGCTTTCCTACGCAACGTAAGCGCATTTAAATTTACCAATTGCAATTTTCATTTAAATGTTATATGTACATGAAACTGCTGGGGAAAATACACAAAGGTCATTTTAACCATAGTAGCTCACAATCTTGCTTGGTAAATAAAAGTATATCTACTATTTATAACACACGTGTATAGTATATATGTTTTATTTATCAATTAAGATAGAGTGTGGCAATGATCATAACAAAGCAAATTTAAAATAACCATTCATTCATCTATCAAATGTTAGTAAATAACATACATGCATATTGCTACACATGACAGTATGAGAGTTATATTCTGATTATAACACATACTGGTTGTGCTCTATGAACTTCCTTTGGTTGAAAAGACGATGAAAAAGGATTATTAGGATCATCATCCCAATCATCTTCCTCCTCTTCATCTGAATCATCGTCATCTGGTGACTGTTAGTAATCAAGTCAGTGTGATTATACGTGATCAAAACCAACTTCTTCCCAAGCAATTTTTATGTTTAGCAGTTTACATTATGTCACTGATCATTCAGTTTAAATACTTGTTTGTTTTTTTTTAACTCTTATATTGTAACTTAAGACAATCACAAATTTAACTGTTCCACAAGTTGTACAAAATAAAATTTTAATCGAATCGTAAGTAATTTAAATCATTCCGCATCTTTTCGTTTTTCCCACCAATTGTCGACTGTTTACGATAAAGATTTACGTTTATAATCAGCTCTAAAAAGTTTTTAATTGTTGCAATACTAAGCATACAATAAAACTAATAATATATCATTATGTATATAATTTCAAAAATGATAAACGTATTTCAGCAGTTTTCAGAATGTTAACCAAAAAAAATGTTTATTATTTTCTTGTTCACGTCTGGATATACATGTAAATTAAATAATAAAGTGCCCGAGTAATATTTAAATATGATTTTGTACATTATTTGAAAGTGCTTACGAATGACAAAATAACAAAACAATCATGCAATATGTGTATATAAGGAACCTATATAACTAGCAAGAATTGATCTCTCCAGAGAAATGTGTGCTGAGTTTTTACAATTATTAATTTACCACTTTCTCATTCTCATGGTTTGTCTTCTTTGCTTCTTCTTCAAATACATCTGTTAAACTCCGTTTGGCTTTTTTCTTTAATAAAACATACAATAAGCTATCTATATTTAATTGTAACAATGTATACTCAGACCAAAGCATTCAGACTAAATCATCATCTATCAATATTTTAATAAATTCTAACTTTGGCTCTATTTTCATTTTTTTTATCATCTTACTGGTCTATTTCACGTTTTCAAAACTTATAAACTTTGTGTTTATTTACCGATTTTTTTCCTCGTATGGATCCCAGGATAGAACGACTTTTCTTTTTCTTCTGTAGTTAGAGATGGAAAAGAAAAGATCACTGTTATTGTATATTTTTATGAATCAGTAAAATAACAGTCATTATTTATAGAAAATAAAGACACAATAGTATTTGCTGAAGTCATCTAGAATCTTTTTTTTTTTATATAATTTTCAGTTTGGACAAAACAACAGAAAATACTTTCAACAGAAAATAATTACTACTGTTTCATTTAAGATCTTTTCGCATAAAATCATATCATAAAGGGGTAGTCTCATTTATTTTCTTATTTGTTTAATCCTTAAATAAAGGATTAGCTAGACTGTATCAATCAAAAACAAAATTAATAACCTCTGAGGAAGTCGTTTCCTCATTTTCATAAGACACGCTATCTTTTTTCTGAAAAGAGAATTGCAATTATAAACAGCTGTGCGACAATACAATCATGATTTTAAAGAAATTTTTTTTCGAATATAAACACTGAGTAAAATTTATATTTTAACTAAAAATTTAAACCTCTGGAAGTGATAAAATATATTTCAGCAGTTCTAAATTGAAAAAAAAAATATTTACAGAGCTAGGACTTCGGACAGAAGCAAACTGTTTTAATTTCCTTCTTTCCTCCATAGGCTGTAAGTGATAAAGAAAATGTTTAATTAATAAAAGGAAATTTGACATATTTATTGGCTCAGCAGCTAAAGTTTAACATATATAATGCATTTTTAATATATGCCCAATATATGAAAACGTTAACCCCACTTAGGGACCTAATCTCCTTTATCCCATGATCCTATATACTGTATATATTGAAATTCGTTCACCAATTTCAGAGAAGAAACTTAATATGTTCAAAAATTTACAAACGACAGAGGGCCATCATTGTAGACAACACATGATGACAGATGAACACTAAAATCGCCTGAGTGATACAGCTGAACTAACAAAACAAAAGGTTTTCGAATGGACTGATTTTTGAAGTTCATTTGAAACATTAACTGACCAACATCTGGGGTGTGCTTTGTTCTGGCGACTCCCGGGAATAACTATGTACTCTCTTCGATCCTTTTGGTTCAACACTTTCCAATGTTTTGGGGTAACCTCCATTCTAGAAAAGGGACAAAACGTGAATGATAAATAAAATTCCCAAATTTTTCACTAATAAATGGATATTATTTATTTTAATTCATGACGAATAAACTTTACAGTATACCTGGGATATGACACTTTGAATTTTTCATCGCTTTGTTCATTTTTTTTTTTTCAAAAACCAAAAGTCTTTTTTTATATATATACAAGATTTAAAAAAAAAATTAGCATTATATTTTCAAAATAATACTACTTGTCTTTTTATTTTGTGATACGAGGAACGACTTTATATGTACATGTAACTGTTTTATATTTCAGCAATAAAAGGAGTATATTATAGGAATAATTTGACAGCTACAGAGACGTAATCAAAATTTGCCTTAATCTTGATTTTGTATTATTATAATTTATTAAAATAAAATTTATATCAAAATATCGACAGCTTTGAATGCAAATGATTCATTTTAAGTCTCATCTCCTTGAATGTTTCTTTTTTCTATATACGAAAATTATTTTAAAGAAATTATTTTATTTCAGGACGAATGATACAAACAAACTTTTATCAAAAATTTTGAAAATGACAACTTTAATCATGTTTATACACATGTATAAGTAAAATGAATAATTTTAACCGCATAGATTTTAATTTTTTACTCAAAGTTTCACAATAATGTGATTTTAAGTGACAAAAAATTGTATACATTAATAAGAGGGGTGCAGAAGTGTAGAATATTTTGAACATCATAGAAGGTCTGCAAATTCTTAATATTTTAGATATTTTTATTTGCATTATTTACAATCAAAATAGGTCCAAAAATACAGTACTGTATATACCAATCCAGACATCCATTTTTTTGTATCATCCGTCCTTAAGGTCAGATCTATGATACCTATACTTAAAATTAATGAAACGAACAGATTAAGAAACTACTTGCCCTTTCCGTTGACGGATGAGTCAATGTACTGTGGTTTTGCGGAACTGAGAAGTCTGCGGACCTTGGTGCTTGGATCTTTTGGACTGGAGATGACTCTCTCTGTAAAAGGTACAGTAAAACAGTTCTATGGGTACTTATTTGCTGTGCTAACAGTGAAGAACGATGACTTAATATGTAATCATAAAAATTGATAAATAATTCTTTAAATTGCAGCAATGGATGTAACAATTAAGTGATACCATCGAAAGAAATGAACGGTATTAAATGTATTAAAAAACTGGAACACCCATGTCAAGCGCACTGTACACTAAAGGTAGAAGCGATTGAGACGCTTAATTTGTGTCTATAATTAGTGACATAATTTTTAAAAAGAGGTCGTATCGACTTTGAAAAGTATTACACAGCAAACATGGGATTTCTGATAATGTTCAACATTATTGATTTATTGGAGAAAACGTCAGTCCTACAAATAATGTAAATTACCACTGAATTGAAGCGCAATTGAATTCATGTGCGATGACATTTTCAACAGGAAGAAAGTACCCATTCGACATGATGCAGATTCTTCAAACATTATAGATTCATTTTTTTAAATGATGGTTTTCATTTTACTCTCTGAAAAGCATTCAGAAAATATTCAGAAAAGAATTCAGAAAGTGATTTCATTTGAAAATTTTAGGAAGCACTCGATGTTTCATTAAAACCACGTACACTTTTTACCGCTGTTATCGTTCTGAAAAGTAAACCAGATTCACAAGGAGGTCACAGTTTTTTTTTTACTCTGGTAATTGGAATCAGCAGTTAAAATCTCTTACATGTCTAAGTGTTATTAAATCTGCGAAGTAAAACATCAGAATATGCAACTAAAGTAAACTGCAGGGTGCGGCAATTGCAGTTTCCAGAAGTTGTCAAGTAGAGAAGTAGTGTTTATCAAATGTGGATACTTAAACGCTCCAAGGAACTCTTAGGAAATCTGAAATAACACTATTCTTCGAAAATGAGCAGCATCAGAACTTACGACTTTTCCACATCTTATAAAACCATTCCCAACGAAAAATTAAAGATCATACTTTTTTGACATCTTAGACAAATCCTTCGTCAATAAAAACAATAAAAATGGAACGCGGAAATTTGCCTTTTCATTGTCAGGTCGTCTGCAAACTTATTTTGTTTTTAAAAAAAATGATACTATATACATATATATATGTGTGTGTGTGTGTGTGTGTGTGTGTGTGTACTCCGGGTGTTATTTCAAAAATCATGAGTTTCTGATTGAAGATATGGTCTTCCAACAATCTGTTGGAATTCCGATGGTACTAATTGTACCCCGTTGTAAGAAGGCCTGATTTTGTAATCTTATGAAGCAAACTTTATTCAAAAACAACTACATTAAAAATAATAAGTCTCATTTTGGCCTTCAATTTGACATTTAGAAATCTCGACGACGTTTTCATCGATTAACATTATTCATTTTCATTCCTACGTCGTCTCGATATATATTGAACTCCAAATAAATGACATCAGAGAGTTTGACACATCTACTTCATATTTGGACGTACACACTAAAGTTTATGATCATAACTAACTATTCTACCGTAATTGTCCCTTATTAATACTCCATGGCACCTGATCACACCTCTGATGTTTTAGAGGTCCGTGTTTGCTCTGCTCCAAAATTTGTATTGTTTAATGGACTTTTGAGCTTGAATACTGTTCGTTATCTCCATACATTTCATAAAGCAATATACAATTATCACCTGCATATGAGGTATGTTTCTCCCAGTTGAATCGATGATACGCAAGTGCATGTTCAAAACAATTTCTAAAACGACGCAGGCTACTAAAAAATAAGTTGATGATATAACGATATCAACAATCTCGTATTAAGTCAATATTTTGCAAATTCTACAGTTGATACAATTACCTTGTTTGCAAATACAGTCTATCGCTTGATCGAATGTTAACTAACGTCTTTCATAGAAATTGTCAGGCCATTATTGTCACATTGAATTGTCTACAGATTGTTCAGTTTACCAGATTATGACAATGGACACACGTCGGGCGGGACACCGGTCGTTAGTGGATGCTCACTCCTCCATGGCACCTGATCAGACCGCAGAGTCTGTTTTCAGAGGGTCTGCTCACAACTGTTTGTTTAATTGGACTTTTGAGCATGATTACTATTCGTTTATTTCACATTTCATTAGATTCCTTCTACAATACTGCAAAAACATGACCTTTATATAACCTTCTACAATACAGCAAAAACATGACCTTTATATAACTTTCTACAATACTGCAAAAACATGACCTATATATAACCTTCTACAATAGTACAAAAACATGACCTATACATAACCTTCTACAATAGTACAAAAACATGACCTACATACATGTATTGATTAACTTACTAGTACCATCTCAAAGTGGTTTCATGTAATCTATGTGTATTGGTTAGTAGATGATTGTGCCAAAAACGTTTATCTACCGAGTTTCGCTTCTGTATCTGCTTTGCCCACATAAAGTGTATGTCGGCCAATTTTTTAGAAATATCAAGTTGGCTAGCATTTTCTCAATCTTTAAAAAGAAACACCTCCTTATAATATTTTATACTTGATCATGTGATCTTGGATGAGCCAAATTGAGAGATGGAAATGATCAAGAAAAAAAAAGAAAAATGCAGTAGTTTCTTAGATATGTCAGTCAATATCACTTGGTAAAATACTGTGAAATCATTAAAAGTCTTAAGGGCCAATTTTCGCGGGTTGCTTAAACAGATTCGTGGGGACGTAATTTCGTGTATTCTCTTATAGTATGACTTTCTAACCATAGTTTATTAATTCGTGGAGGATAATAACTCGTAGATGAGAGGTACCAACGAATTCCACAAAAATTGAGCCACCACAAAATCTAATGATTTCACAGAAGAGGAAAAAGTTGTTTTACAACCTGCAACGATTGGATTTAAGAGGTAAAAGTAAGAAAAGTTCATCTAAATTTGTATGTTTTGAGTCCAAGAATTAATAATTAAGTAATAATCATCCCTTTGGGTGCAACATTGAAGACGACATATCACTCATCCGTGCATATGAAAAGAATATATAGAATGACGACAACGGTGTTTCTATTCAGAGATTTCTTTACGTTCTCTCTCTCTCTCTCTCTCTCTCTCTCTCTCTCACCTGACTCTGTGTATTTTGAATCACATTCTTCAGAACGGGACCAACATCCACCGGCCTCTCGTTGACCCTCTCCTGTTTCACTGTTGAGCTTTCAGTTTTCACATTTACTACTTTAGGATGTACCTGTATAATGATAAGTCGATTTATACTTCATATTTTACCCCCTGGAGGTTAGTTTATACATAAAAATATCAAACATTTAAACATGATACATTTATTTTATAACCGTACATTTATCCTGTCCAACTCTTTACCAAATTTACAGAATTCATGATAAAATTTTATTTTCCACTCACGTTATTTTCAGGTGCTGTTATTAGCTCTTCATTATTAACCTTGGATTCTGTAAGCCTTTTTGCTTCTTCTTCTGGAGCTTCTATGTCCTTGTTTTTATTCTGTATGATAAGGATACATTAAATTGACACTTACAATGTTTGAAAATGCAGCAAACACAGTACTTGACATAGTTTCACAATCAGACCTTTTTGATTTTCCTAAAGGAAAATTTTCCTGGCTTGTCTTTCTTTTTATTCTGTAAAACAAAAACAACAAATGTCCTGTCATTGCAAATCATATTTCAGGGGATATTCCGATACAATCGAACAACATTCAAAGAAAAAAATCTATATTCCAGCATAGGAAGAAAATAGAAAGGATGAAAGTAGACATTCAGTTCGCCAATTAACCTATCATTGTAAGTGAGTATGTGTATAATAAAAATAAAATTTTCTATGCATTTTAAGTAATAATACCAAATTTTAATTTATCAGTACTTTGACATAAAAGCTTTAAATAAATATTTCAAAATGAAAAAGAAAAGATAAATATCCAGTTGTCATTAAACCCTACTTTACCATTTAAACATTAAATTAATTTTTTTTTTAAAATGGAAACGTCAAGATTTTATGATTTTATGTACATGTATAAACATGTGTGCCTTAATGTTCTATTTATTAAACTCACTTCTTTTTATCAATTATTCAAATTAAATAACAAGACAGTCAAAATACTACTATAATACTGAATCATTTCGACCCATGCCCCCGCTGGGTCATCCCTGCCCCAGCCGAGGATGAAAATCTAAATATTAATTTTATGCGGCCTCACAAACTCTAGATAATGCCCATTACCTGGTTTCTCTTCCGTAAAGAGCACACTTGAAAAACTTAATTGTGCAAGTGAATATGATCTAAAATGGGTCATAAACAAAGCACGGCAAAGCTCTCATATCTACTTTTATGTTTCAACACCTGTGTACTAAGGGGAAAACTTTTATCACATATTAATATAAATGTAAACTTGAATTAGCGGGTGAAAGAGGTCAAGCATGAATTGGTTTTGACAGTTTCAGTTGAAAGCGAAAGTAGAAAAATAAATGTTAACCTGCCAGTTATCATTTTTAATCAATAATGATAACATTTAAGAGATAAATACATTCAACAGATAATTATATAATAGTACTAAGAAAAAAATATAAACAGAATTAACCGAATTTACACGTACACATATATTACGTACTACGCCTATGTTTAGTCACATATGTTTGCATGAATCAAATGTACCGTAAATACATTTAAATACAAAAGAAACAAAGTCTTACCATTTTACCATGGCTACAGCTTAAGCATAAAAAGATAAATCAAAACATCGACAGGGCCCCTATTCCACGACACCAAGGGCTAGTCAACATAATCTATTAATAGATATGGGGAATCTATAACTTTCGTATTTCATTACAAGCCTTATGTTTCTCTATATATAACCGGAGATATTCTATTACAATAATTATATATATTTTGTTAATTCCATAAGTCAAAATTAGAAAGTGAGTTCGAATTACACGATTTGTCGGATAGATAATCATTTCTTCCCTCTGGGAAGTATTTGGGAAAAAAAAAGGAATTTCCACTTAAATGTTACCTCTTAAGACTTTTTAAGGGCTTTACTGACTGTTTCATCAATTCTTTCTTTTTTTTTTCAATAAAAGAAAGATAAGTCAGCTAATATACATGTACATCCGTATATGAAGTTTGGATTTCAAAATTGATCTGCTGTCTTTAAAATTTTATTACTGTATATTACAATTTAATTTTAATGATTTTTTTTTAAATCTTATGCTAAATGATATGAACATTAATTTTCCATTGAATAATCAACCTTATTTCTTTTATGACCGTCAATCACGTTATTGCATCTTACTATATATTTCCTCTCACGTGTTGTTTAATTACTGTGAGTAAACCTAATCATTTTATTTGGGATATTTTAGGTTGACACATCTCGTGAGTTTGAGAGGAACGACTCCAATATCGGCAGGAAATTTACTATAAGAATATAGCTGAATAAGCTGATTACACTCTGGACTAGATGTTGTTCCATTAGTTAATAGAAAATATGTACTAATTTGTGTAAGTGAAAGTTTTTGAAAAGCGTAAGCGGAAATTCAACAAGTTTGATTATGATTCGTTGTAGTTTCTTCGAACGGGCATTCACGTTTCTGGAAACTCTGACACAATTTAAAATCACCAATTATTTATTTTCTTGTTTGTGAAGAATTGTTAATAAACTATACTATTCGCGTATAATTAAGGCCCATTCACCATATTTGTAACCTTAACTTACCTATACTGTATAACTTATGACATTTTTCAAAAATTTCAGTTAAAGGATATTTTAAATACCAAAAAATAAAGTTAAACACATTTTTCACTGTGAAAAAAAATATTTGATCTGCATGTTTCTCACTGCAAATAAAGTGCGTACCATACTGACGTCAAAATGATACGTACTTCAGGCTAAACCTCACTGTATCGGATTGAACTTCAAAATTGTATGCAATGGGAAGTTAGAAGAGTCGGCAAAATTGATCGTTTTCACGTACTTTTCACGTTTGAAATGATGCTTGTTTCATTTAGGGCTTTTTGTATGTGTTTAATTCCCCACCCACTCAGCGCGATCCGCTTATGTATTCTCGTTCCTCGATTTTTATTTCATCGAAGTGTATACGCATTTTAAGGCTAATTCAATTCTCTCATATTCTCTGTGAAGGAAACAAAATCAGTAATAAAATGATAGCTGTCATTCAAAAAGTAGTAGACATCTGCTTATTAAGTAAAATAACATTTTCTCTATTCTGAGAATTTCATTTGCATGAGGAAACACAGACATTAAGAAGTAGATAAATGATAATTGAAATCCCCATGTGATAATATGAGCTTGAGTTTCACATTCAACTTTATGTGTTTATTAATTTTACAATGATTTTAATTTAGATGCCTCTTATTGCGTCATTCACAAGATGATTTAATTGAAGTCATATGCCGATCGCATTTTTATTATTTTTATTACATAAATTTTTAACCAAGTGCTAATATGCACATTGATTGTCTATCATAGCTTGGTGTTTTTGAGTAGATATTTAATGAACATAAGAACACTTGATAATTCGTACATGTATAATGTAAAAAGCTGAAGATAACGAATACTTAACAATTTCATTTCTAGTAAACAAAACGATTCATGAACAGGGCAAAAATACGGACCCTGGAAACACCAGAGATGCGATCAGGTGCCTAGGAGAACTAAGCATTCCCTTTCGGTTGGTCATATTCGCTGAGAGCCCTATGTATTGATCAAGAAGACGGAGTACTCCGTAATTAAATTTAGTACAAAAGCAATGATCTAACAAATTGTATGAAAAATGTCAGTCAAAAAAAATAACCAAATATAGATTGTAATTAAAAGCGGACTTTAAACGGGATTCTTGAATTCCTTGTAACATCACCTTACTTGTCAGAAGCCTGCATCGGTTTAAAATCAATCGTATTCAGAGCGTAATCTTATGTATCGAATTATTTGGGAGACATAAAACATCATATGGATGTGATGTTGGAATATTGCTACATAAATAGGGGAAATTGACGATGAAAAGGCGGAAGTTATCTTGTTTGTCATACCGTTCAGTTATCAGTTGTCTATTATCGTCTATAGTCAATTATATATCCGAATATGAAACAGATGTGTCAGACTCTATGATGTCTTTTATTTCGAATTCACTGGGATATATATCAAGTCGACACATGAATGAAAGTCACCTTTGTTAATTGACAAAATGTCGTCGATATATCTAAATATTGAGTTGAAGGCCACAGCAATGGTCTCGTGAAAATTCATAGAAATATAAAAACAAATCGGCTAAGAAAGGAGCACAATAAGTGCCCATTGTTGGAAGACCTAGTCTCCACAGACTACATACAGATTGTCAATGAGGAACTCCAGCATCCTTGTAATATCAGCTTCAGAGTACTTTTATTTAGAATCAGAGTGATTTTTAACGAAGTAAATTTTGTTAATGATCAATCACAAGATATAAAAATTTACAAGATTCATTTTTATTGAGCAAGCAGTTGTCTATGATGTCAAAAAGCTTCTCCCTAATTAACTGTGACGAATGGCTGTATTAAACTTGGAAAAGTAATTTGTTCTAATACTATTAATGTTCGAAAAGTTTTGAGATTTTAATTTTCCAAAAGTTCTTTTGAGTTTTTTAGAACTAATATTTGATTAACACCAGTTACATGTATTGAATATGTTGAAGCACAGTGCTCCTCCTTCACAGCAGTTGATATTCTGGTGAGGAGTAAGGATAGGGGCTTGGTTAAACATTGACTAGACCCTGCAATATATCTTTGTTCGTAAGGGTTTTTATGAATTTTTGAAATCCAGTATACCGGTAGGTACGGTAAATCAAACTCACTTCCACTATTTATTTTTTAAACAATTTCCTGTTATTAAAATATCACAGGTTTTACAATTTTCGTACAAAATGGGAATTGGAACACATAGTGTCCTAATAGGAATCTTCAAAATGTTTGATCGAAACTTTACAATCTTTTATTCTAGTAGAGGTGTTGTCCGTTTTATTATAAAACTGGCTATCTGAAGACTGTTTATAAGACGAATTCTTTGTGTCTCGAAGGATAACCATTCTGTTAGAGTTAGTGCCCTTTAAAATGTCAACAGAGTGATACCTTCTACGGCATGTCAGTCAGTGTGGAATTCTTTATCTTGCTAATATTCATAGAAGAATATATACCGATTAATGACAAGTATCCTCGGGGACAGATTGTCCACGAGCAGATATTCATTAGTGGTGTTGTTTAATCAATATATTAATATTTTGCAACATTTCTTTTTGTATTTTATCTACTAAAATCAATGTAATTTTGCAATAAAAGCCTCTTTGTTTTTGGTGTTCCAATTTGAGAATACACTTGCAGATAATTGCTTTCTCTATATGGAAATACTGACTGTTTCTGTTCCTATGGCTTATCTTTACTAATATAAACGCGAAAAAAGTATTTATTTGTTTCAATCCATCTTTACTTTAATTTCAAATGTTCGTTTTGATTTCTATTTTGATAACGTGATTAATCCTGCCTTCTCGCATAATTTCCATAAAACAAAGTTTTTTTTAAATCAATGTGAAATTGTGACTGAAAGTTGGTAAAAATATAGAGGTTCCTTAAGCATAGGGTATTAAATATGAATGGAATGAATTGGACGGAGTATTGGTATTGTGTTTAAAGGATATCTAACCAATCTAAAGGATAACATTTTTGTATTTTACTTTCAATTCTGAAGGGAATTCTTTCAATTTTCTGTTAATGACATACGCAACGTACCTTACCTACTGATAATTTTTCGAGATATTCTTAATTTAAGATTATAGTGCCATCAGATGGTTGTAGACAAAAAATCAGCATGCGTTACCAGGGGTTTTGAAAAGATATCAATTGATGGAAATTCTTGTATAATTCAAAGAAAAATATACAAAAATTACTAAACATATATTCTAGATATTTTGTTTATCCAAACTTGTTTTAGAAGAAGTGTACAATAGCATATATAGACATTAAAATGTAGCACACAGTTCCTTTAAGTATTGGAACTCTTCAACTCCAGGGGAAAAGACAATAAAGTTCAAACTACGTTGCGTATGTCCTTAAACAGAATATAATGAAAAAACAGGGGGAGGAAGTGCTTTAACGGTCACCTGAGTTTAATGCAACTCTATAAAGAATCGAAACAATTGCAATTTAATACGTATTTGATTTATAAAAATGATAGAAAATAGTTAGCCTAGTACTCAGCAACAACACACACACACACACATACACACACACCCTCACACACACACACACACACATACACACACACACACACACACACACACACACACACATATATATATATATATATATATATATATATATATATATATATATATATATATATATATATATATATATATATATATATATACATATATATATATATATATATATATATATATATATATATATATATATATATATATATATATATATATATATATATTAGGGATGGCAATTTGTAATCGGTTAACCGGTTACTCGGTCGGAACGTTGGTAATCGGTTAGAAAATCTGTAATCGGTTAGTCGGGAAAAAAATTAATAAATGTGTAAATTTGAATGCAATATCCTAAAAATTCAATTTCAAAAATACAAATAACATTTTCAGAAATGTTAGCATGTTCACCTATCTATTTAAGCTGATACTTAGATAATTAAGGCTCTCCAGATTGACATCCGGGGGGTAATTGGTCACTTTTCGAGTCGTTAATTGC